GCAGGAGCCCCGGACCTCTGCTGGAGAAGCTGCGCAGAGGATTCGCTCCCGGCGGTCGAAGGCTGCGCCTCCTCTCTGCTCACACCCCACACCCTGCCTGGGCTCCCCAGCTCCTGGGTGCGTGAGCTTCGTCGTCTGATTCAAGACACGAGCCATCCACCCCCGCTTCCTCCACCCTCCTCCCGCCCAAACCGCGCTAGAGGGCGTCTTCCTTGCACAAACCTGGACTTCTGCCCTCCCCAGCTCAAAAGCCCTCCCATCGGTCCCCAGTGCCCTGAGAGAAAGCCAGCTTTCCACCCATGCTCGTAAAAGGCTTGTCTGGCTCCCCGACCTTCCCCGTCCCTGTCCTGTCCCGCCACTCCACTCCCGTCCCCTGAGCACCTGCCCAGTCTTTTTTTTTTTTGGATGCAGGATTCTTGCTCTTGTTGCCCAGGGCTAGAGTGCAGTGCCACGGATCATAACTCACCTGCCAACCTCAACTCCTGGGGCTCAAGCGATCTCTCCCGATAGCTGGACTACAGCGGCACGCACCGACCGATGCCTGAGATATTTTTGTAGAGCATGGTCTCCGCTGTCATGGTGGCCAGGCTGATCTCAAGTTCTGGCCGCATGCGAGCTTCCTGCCCTCACCTCCCAAGAGCACTTGGCCCATTCTGTTCCCATCCTGCTGCCTGATTACCTGCCTAGTTCCTACCTTTCACATCTCAGCTCCTGATACTACCTCCTCCAGGAAGCCTCTCCTGATCACCAGGCCAGAAGGCTAATGTCCCCCCGGTCTCCACAATCCTGCGCGGCTCCCATCCCATCCCAGATCCTCTGCGTCATCACTGTCTGAACGACTTGTCCCCCACTCGGACTGGGAGCCCAGGAGTGTAGGGCTGCCAGCTGTCTTGGTACCTGCTGTGTCTCCAGCGCACCACCCAGCCACTCAGTGGGCGATTAAAGAGTGTTTGCTGAAAAAATGTCATCTGGCGAGGACCGACAGGATGAACATAGCCCCACAACATAGCAAGACCCCCGATCTATGCAAAAAATAGAAAGTAGCGCAGGGTGGTGGCGCGATGTTGGTAGTCTCACCTATCTGGGAGCGCAGTGGAGAATCGCTTCAGCCAGGAGTGTGAGGTATGAGATCCAGCCGCGCACTGCTAGCCTAGGTCGACAGAGTGAGACCTTATCTCAAAAAAAATTTTTTAAAAGGCATTTATTATCACCATGACCAGCAACCCTCTCGGCTAGTTGGCGGCCCACTCTCGAGATGAGCTTTTTTTTTTGAGACAGGAGTCTCGCTTTTTGCAGGCTAGAGGAGTAGCCGGCGTTCAGCCTAGCGTCGACAGCAACCTCAATCTCCTGGGCTCAGCACTCCTGCCTCAGTCCCACTAACTGCACTACAGCATGTGCCACCCATGGCCGGCTAAATCTTTCGTATAGTCATATTAGGCTTGGCAGTAATTTCTTCTATTTATGAGTAGAGACAGCGGTCTGGCTCTTGCTCAGGCTGCGTTTCAAACTCCTTGAAAAACCTCGGCAATCCACCACTTCGGCCCTCCCAGAGTGCTAGGATTACAGGCGTGAGCCACTGCGCCGCTTTGAGCATGAGCTTTGAATCAGTTTTTAAAAGAAAAAAAAAAGCATTTATTGAGTGCCTCCTACATGTGACCTAGCCCTGCCCTCATGGGTTGTCTTGCTGTCCCTTCCTCCCCTAACACACTCCTGTCTCCTCCCCTTCCAGGTAACCGAATGTCTGACCACCGTGAAGTCAGTCAACAAGACAGACAGTCAGACCCTCCTGGCCACTTTTGGAGTGAGGAAATCCCTGCCCCCCAGGCATTACCACCCGCTTCTAGGAAGGCCCGCACCCCTTTCCTTCCATCTCCCTGCCCACCCCTTGGCCCCTTCTGGCCTTCTCAAAGGCTTCCAACTGTACCCCCCCACCCCCCGAATATCTTAGGCCCCTCATCAGCTGGGGCAGGGTAGGCTTTTATGGTCACCCCCCCTGAGCCCTCACTTCTGTTCCTCAGTCTCTGGAACAGCTCATAGCTGCCTCGAGGGAAGATCTGGCCTTGTGCCCTGGCCTAGGCCCTCAGAAGGTAAGAGCGCTGGGAATGAACTTGAGGGGTGAGGCGCTGGAGGGAACCCCAAATGAACAGGACCTGAGATCCCAAAGTTTTAAGGTTTGGAAGGATCACAGTGCCTCTCTTACGGATGGGGAAACTGAGGTATAAGAGCGTAGGGACCAGTCCAACCTCACACACCCAGTTTGGAATCAAATCCAGATGGGGCTACTTCTCTCCTGGCCCCCAGACCTCCCCTCCAAGCTGGGAGAAAAAGCAAAAACCCACTCTAGATATACCAAACAAATGACACTTTTAATAACTGCTTTCTCATTTTTTTCTCCCACATCTAGGCCCGGAGGCTGTTTGAAGTCCTGCACGAGCCCTTCTTGAAAGTGCCCCAGTGACCCAAGGAGACCCCTGGTATAATAATAAAGCATTTTCCAGTCCAGGCTCCTTCTGGGTGTGCTGGTGTAGCCGCCGGAGAAGGGTCCCCACCTTCAGCTTTTAATAGTGCCTCAGTTTCCCTGGGGGAACACTACACAGGATCCTGCTGCAGTTTCTTCTTCCGCTTCTTCTCCCGTCCTTCCGCGGGAGCCACCTCCCCAGGCTGTAGGTTCAGCGGGGGCTCTGGCGTGTCCTCTTGGGACGCCATCTCTGGTACCCCGCTTTCCTGACTCCGCTTCTTCCTCTTCTTGGTGGATCCGGGAGCTGCCTGGGCCTCAGGCTCATTCTCTCCTGGTGGCTCGGGCTCCACCGTCTCCATTGGTGGATCCGTCATCTCAGTCCTCGGCTCTGTCATTTGGTGACCTCTCTCTTTCTTCTTCTTCCTCTTGGCAGATGCTGGATCTACCTGAGGCACAAGGTCACCTGGCATCTCAGATTCTGCCACCTCGGTCCCTGGTTCTGTCACTGCATTTTGTCTCTTTTCTTTCTTCCTCTTCTTGGTGGAAGCCAGAGCCGCCTGCACCTGAGGCTCCGCATCATTTGGCAGTTCCGGCTCCATCATCTCCCCAGGGAGCTCCTGAGGGCTCACCTCCGGCTCCGCGGCCTCAGTCCCTGGCTCTGTCATTGTGTTGTGTGACTTCTCTTTTTTCCTTTTCTTCACGGGAGACAGTGAGATGGCTTCCTCCTGCAGCTCCACCTTCACTTGCAGCTGAGACTCAACTGTCATCCCTTCCCCTGGCTCCATCCCTTTTGTCTCCTTTGGCCTCTTTCTCTTCTTGGTGGGGGACAGGACTGTCTCGTCCAGAGGTTCGGTTTTAATGAGTTCGAGCTCCACTGCCTTTTCATCTGGCTCAAATGTTTCTGCCCCTTTGTGCTTCTTTGTGGTAGCCAGGACCTGCGCTCCCAGAGCCTTGAGCGTCTCAGCTGTGGGCTTCGTCACCGCAGGCTCTGTCACTTCTGGTTCTCTCAGCTGCTGCTTCTTCTTTTTCTTCTTCTCCACATGTGTTTCTGGGGACCCCACAGCTTTGTCCACTTCCAGGGCCCCGTGCCCATTCACTGCCTCCCGAGTGACCGAAGCCTCTAGCACCTGCATCTTCTTTTTTCTCTTCCTGGAAGTGGGTGACTTCTGTGCCAGGGCTGACCCAGGCCCTGTGACTGGGGGGTTGCCTCCAAAGGCACAGAACCGAGGCTTCAGGCCAGGGGGGATCTGTGGTGGGGGGCTTGCTGCAATGGGCTGCAGAGGGGTCCCAGACAAGGATTCTTGTGGACCCTCAATGATCCTTAGGCAGCCCTTGGGGGCCGGGGCACAGGTGAGTCCACCTCCCGCCTCCACTGAGGGGGCCAGCAGGGTTGTCTCTCTGGTCTGGGGGCTGCCGCTGCTGAGGACCCGATAGCGGTGCCGCTTGCCTGCCAACTTGCCTTTCACGATCTGGGAGCCAGAGAGAGGCACGAGTCGCCCATTGAGGCTGAGGGGAGAAAGTGGGAGGGCAGAAGCTTAGATCCTTTTGGTGGGACAGGGGAAAGGAAGTCAAAAGCGGTATTTGGGAGTTCCTCAGAAATGTCCCACTCAATTTCCCTCAAGCTCAGCCTCTCCGGTGGGGAGCATTCCCAGGAGACGGCATGGGACCACTCACCAGTCCGGGACAAAGTCTGCTGGGGCCTGGATAAGCCACACCTCCGTATCTGGGTCTGTCAGAGCCTCCAAGGAGAAACGAGGGGACTCCGAGACCGGGGGCGTCGCGGTAAAGTTGGGAGGACAAGAGAACCGAGCGGCACCTGTGGGAGAAGGGGAAAAGGGGGCTGTCCTGACACTTCCCTGACGGTCCAATCCTCCAGGGCGCCTATCGGTCCATTGGTCCCAACCTCGAGAGCGCTCCAATCCCCCCTCCTGGTCTCTCCTCTCTGCCCGCCTGTTGGGGCGTCCCCATCTCCACCGAACTAACCCCTGGGGGCACCCCTTTCTACTGGGAGTTCCCAGCAAGATGCCCTCTCTCCGTCGGATCTCCGGGTCCCCCCACTGGGCGCAAATATGGTCTCCAGGGCCGCTTCCTCTTCCGCCCAAACTTTCCCGGACGCCCCTTTCCCCTGCCACCACCCCACCGTCCGCACCCGGCCGACCCGCCCGCTCACCGTTGGACTGGGCCCCCTCCATCCCGGGACCCACGCCGCACGCAACCCAGCGGCCCGGGCTACTTGGACGCGGCTGCGGACCACGTGGACCCAGGGGGGCGGGGCCTCGGCCGGGAGCGCCCAAGAGGCCGGGAGCGTGGGGGGCGCCGCTCGGCGGCTGTTCGTTCTTCGGGCAGCACTGGGGGAAATTTCCATTGTGCAGAGCAGACAACAGAGGAGGACTCCTTTCCTGAAAATCTGCTCCGGAAAACAACCGATTCTCTGTTTTGTTGGAGCCACAGCCTCGCCGGATCGCGACAGGTCTCCCCCACAGTCTCTGGGACATGGTTTGTTCCAACACCGCCTTAAAGGGGCTGCTGCCCCGATAGGACCTAACTCTTAAAGAGACAGGAAGGTCGATTGGTCTGAAGTTCTTAAAGGGACAGGTAAGAATCCTGGACAGTAGGGCTGTGCTTTCAGTGTTCAATCCCTTCTGGGGCGGCCCAGATGCCTTGGAAGTTCAGAATTTGAGTGGGAGAGGTGGGGGAAAAAGGAGGAATGGGGGTAAGCCCTCCCTAGGGCGTGAGGTACCAGCCAGGGGCAGAACTTTTGGACTCCCAGGGAGCGGGAAACACAGGGGGAGGAGCCTGCAGATCCAGGGGCGGAGCCTCGAACCCGGAGCGAGACACGCGTGGGGCGGTGCGGGCTAAGGGGCGGCGCTTGCGGATTAGGTGAGACTTGCAGATGCCTTCGAGGGTTTAGTCTAGTGCGTGGGAAACATTCCTGATGGCTTTGAGGAAGGCAGAGGGGGTAGAAGGCCTGATCGGCAACCCCTCCCTGCCCCAGGGCGCGTGTAAACAGCTGCACGTGGACGCAGATTTGGGAGACGCGCCCACGTTTCTTCCCACCGGGACCGCACCGCGTGGGGCGGCAGTTGGAGCCGCGGGACGGCGGCTAGACGGGGTGACCCGACTGCATTCCTGGCCGGTGTGTCAGCGCCGGTTCCCGCCCCCTCTGCCGAGATTTCGGATCCTACTCCAGAATTTGGGCACCCACCTTTTCCCCAGGAGAGAGTGGCTTTCTAGAGCAGAGGGAGGGTCAAGGGGAAGGGGAAACATTTCCTCCGCCCGGGATCTCCAGATTGTTCCCTGCGCGTGGGCGAGACACCCGGGTGCCGCCCCTGCGAGCTCCGGGACTACAATTCCCAGAGGACCCGAGGCGAGGAGGTGCTAGAGATCGGTCGCGGCTGCTGCTGGAGATTGTAGTCCAGCCTCCAACTTTAGCCTCTGTTGCTGAGAATCCTGTAAAGATCCGACCCCTCCTATCATCCCCCCTTTTACCGACGGGGACACTGATGCTTAGACACCCGAGGGGATACTGAGTCAGCAAGGCTCTCTTCTCGCTTTAGGAGCTGGGCATGTGACTTTTATCCAGCCTCCAATCTTCCACCTCTTTGGTCCAAATGTTCACTCGGGAAAGGGGAAACTGAGCCTGAAGGGGTGGAGCAAGAGCTCAGAAGTGCATGTCTTGCAGCCACCGCGCGGTAGGCGTCTCTGCTTTTCCGTCTCTCCCTGGCCTGGCCAGGTCGCTTGCAGATTCTTGGGCCTTGCCCTTCCTGTCTGTGAAATGGACTCCGGGTGAATCCGAAAGGGAAGATCTCTGGCTGCGTCCTGGCCCTCTGGGACTACAAGTCCCAAGGTGCTCGAGGCGATCTCGGCTCCCCCTCCCCTCCGGGACCCGCCTCCCTCCAGCCCGAGTCACGTCGTCTAACCTGTTCCCGGAGCCTGCCCCGCCCCGTCCTCCGCTCCCGGCAGCCGGAGCTGGAGCCGGAGGAAGCCCCCTGGTGCCAGGATCTGCCCCGGATCCGTGAGTTACACCCCCCTGGGGTCCAGAGGCCCTCTAAGAGCCCGGCAGTCGCGTTCCTGGGAGGATTGGGAGGGGACTAGAACGCCGGGTTCCAGGGCGGAATTTGGGGTGCGCAGACGTCTGGGTCCCTGGAAGGGGAGAACTCGGATGCCTGATTTACTGGGTGGAAGGAAGGGGGCTCGGATGCCTGAGTTCTTGGAATGGAGGGCTTGGACCCCTTGTTCTGGGGGACACGTTGTAGCTGGGATTCCTGAGTCCCTCGAACTGGGGTTTCTGGGAAGCCTGAATCATTGGGTAGTATTGGGGTCTCGGATCCTCGAGTCCTGGGCAGAAGTGGGAGCTCAGACTACTGGGGCTCAGGAACGGTGACCACCCCTGCGGCCCTCCAGCTACCTTCTCGACCTAACCTCTAGGTCCCTGAGCAGAATTAGGGGTGGGGCAGGGATAGTGGAAGTGGGTCCCTGAAATGGAGCGGGACAAGTGCCCAGGGTCCCTCCGGATGCTGTGTCCCGGTTCTCCCCCAACTTTGCGGCTCTGGGATGGGGGCAGGGGAGGAGAGAAAACCGGGGCAGCTCTCCAACCTCCTCTGTGCCGCTGAGCGAACCCCAACATGTCATTAACCGGGGCGTCAGACCTGCCTAACCAGAGAAGGGACATCCGCCCCAGGGCGCCCCCTGGCGGAGGCGGGACCTCCTATTGCCCCATGGGGGTGGGAAACAAACATATGGGGTTTGCAGAGTTCCAGAACGTGGAGTTGGATTCTGGGAGACTTGCATGGCCGGGCGAGTACGCATTACACAGAGAGGAAGGGTAAACTGAGGCGGAGAGGTCACACAGGCAGGAGAGCTGGGGGTCAGGATTTGGCCTCCGCCTTCCTATGTAGCTCTCTGGGGGACGGGATTCCATCCATTCCCACCAGATTTTCTGACTAACCTCCCTCCCAGGGCTCCTTGCCCTGACCCAGAGGTAAGAAATGTCACCTCCACTGTCGTCAGTCTGACCTGAAGTATTGTGGGAGATAAGGGAGGGATAGAGGCTAATTCTGGAGGTGTCTGTCCTTGAGCTGGGGGAGGGCAGGGCCAGGCTCCTCCCTCTGCCTATCTGCCCCTCTCCCCACCTCCATGTGTCATCAGGAGGATTAAAAACAGAATGGGGGAGGCAGGGGCATCTGATGAGAGAGGGCTGCTTCCTAATGTCTGGGCTTGAAGGGCATTTGGTGATAGGCTGAAATGAAATTAAAAATAATAACCGGGATTGCGACAACAAGGCTCATGGCATGGCAGGTAGAAAGATAGCTCCCACTGTCTAGAGGAGTCTCAGGCGACTGCCCAGACCTCTCATATCGAATGAGATTTGCTGAACCCAGGGAAGGACTTCTCCCTGCTAGTGGGGAAACTGAGGCTGGAGAGTGGACACTGCCCACACCCTGGGCTTTCGCCAGCTTCTGTCTGGAATCTTCCAGAGTTCTCCCAGCCTGTGTCCCTAAGCCATTGAGGACTGGCCAGAACTCAGCAATGTACGGGGAGAATTTAGGTCTCTGAGATCCCAGGGCTCAGGAAGTTGACAGCCTGGACATCAAAGCTCGGAGCTTTTAGAATCTCTGAAAGGGTGGAACGGGGCCCTTTTTTGGGGAAAATTACTTTAAGTTGTGAGCCCTCCCTTTGCACCAAATCCTGTCTTATCTTAATGAACAGCCAACGAAGGCTGGTACTTAAGAATCCTGTGTACGTGGACTTTATTTCGTGCACTGCATTGTTCTAAAACACTGCACATAAATTATGTTACTCAATCCTCACACCCCTTTGAGGAGAAGGTGTTAATTCCCCCTTATACACACGAGGAAACTGGGGCACAGAGTAGCTAAATAACTAGCCCAAGGTAGAGGATTAGATAGGGGAAGGCACTAGCCCATTTCACGTGCGTCTACAGAGGAGGAAGGCAAGTCCCGGAGAGGGTGGAGCGTCCCCTAGCCTCAGTCTGTCCGGACAGGGCTGTAGGATGCCGACCTGGGTGTTCCCTGCCCAGCCTGGCGCTCTGACCCGGTTCCTACTGAGGATGACTCCTCCAGGAAGCCCGCGGCGGCGTCCTTAATCCCAAAGAACGTGGCCGGGGTGCAGAGGCGGCAGGGGGGGGGCGAGCAGGGGTGGAGCGGGCAGAGGAGCCCAGGGGAGGTTACCTGGAGTGGATGGGAGCCCGAGGGAGGGGGGAGCTGGGGTGGGAGGGGAGCCCAGGGGAGAGGACGGGGGGGGGGGGTGGAGGGCAAGGGCAGAGGCCTGGGAACACAGACGCCGCCCGCGCCACCCCCGCGCCCCGCCCTCGCACCGCGCCCGCACCGCTCCCCCGCCGCGGGAGGTGCGGCACCTGCCCGGGCCCGCCGCGCATTCCCCGGGCCTGAGCTCAGGCGCTGTCCGCCCGCCCGGGTGGGGTCGGGCCGTGACCTGGGCGCCCCCTGGCGGCCCTGACGCCCCCTCCGCCCGCACCAGACCCCGGGACACTCACTCCCAGGGCTGGCATTTCCTTAGAGCCAGAGGATGACAGTGTGGAATCTGGGAATCGTGAAATCCCCAAGAACCGCTGACTGCTGGAACGCTGGCACTGCGGGCTGCATAGACACGTTCATTTTTATGCTTTAACAGACACTTGCAAAGTGTTTCCTGTGTAACTCAGATTCTAAAAGCCCCGAATTTCATTCCTGTCGTCTCATCTCTACTTTCCCAGGCCTCAGTCTGCAGAGCCCTGAATTCTTCCTGCACCTTTGACTAGGTGGATCTTCACAATAGTCCTGTGAGCTGAACTGTTATTTATCCTCATTTTACAGATCAGGAAACTGAGGCACTCTCATCAAAGTGGTGCTGCCAGATTTAAACCCTTGGAGTCAGCCTCCTTACTTGTGCTTTTATACCATCCGTCTAGGCGTCCGGGACAGCGTAATCCTGGGATAGATACAACCTGGTTCGGGAAGGCAGAATTCTGGGCTAGCCAAGTTGGAGAATTCTAGAATGTTCCAAAGATAGAAGCTCAGAGACTCAGAACTTTCCAACACTTGACTCTCCAGCTGTGGGGGTTAGACTCTGTAGAACTTTAATTACAGTCTCGAGGTCCTTATAGTATCAGAATCTAGGGCTCAGAGATTGAAGGGGGCTCTCCGAATAGCTTGTTTGCCTTCTCCTTTCACCACTGGGGAAACTGAGGCTCAATGGGAGAGGATTCATCCACAAAGGTCACACACTCCCAGTACACCCAAATGAGCCACCAGTTTCAACAAGTTCTGTTCCCTCTATTTCCCAGACAGGCTGGTACCAGCATGCCCCGGCCTGCCCCCACCGCCCACACCTGTGCCGCCAAAGCTCAGCGGTTGCAACAGGGAGGTGGCAGAGCTGGCGGGCGTGGTGGCCACCACGGGGTTGGGGATAGTGCTGGCCTGACTGGTTTCTGGTAGCCTGGCTCCCTCCCACTGGGCCGGTGACCACAGCTGCCCATCTGCCCCTGGCCACCTCCCTGTTCCTCCTGCTAACAATGGCTTAGTGTGAGCCAGGCCTCCACTGCATGGGGACTCCTGGGAGAGGAAGCTGAGCAGTCACTGCCGTCTGGGATCCCTCCCATCTGGTGGAGATGACCCAGAGGAACAAGTTAGATCCGGGTGTGAAGTTCTCCCAACTTCTTGGAGGGTGACCTTGAACACACATTCTGTCTCACCTGCTAGCACGTGGGTTTTACCATCGAATGAGGCATTGAGTGCACAGTGCTTGGCACAGTTCCAGAAGGCAGTGGCCCCTCGATTAATGGCTATTGTTTGTATTACATTATACCCCAAGCAATAGGCATGGATGGGTTCTGGCACTCCACAATTACTATTTTTAAAAAATATCCCCAGCATCTAGCTCAGTGCCTCCTGGTCCCAAGTAGGCATCCAGTAATTGATAGACATTTCATCCTGTGTTCACTGGTACATAGTAGATGATCAATAGATAATTGTTCAGGGAGTGATTCAAGTCCTGTTAGGGCGGGGACAAAGAGATGGACAAGGAGTCACGGAAAGACAGTGAGTCGTCTGGAGCCTTCTAGAACAGGTTGGGAGTTCTAGGTGGCGCATGGACTGGGCTTTGAAGGAGTTGGCATTTCCCAGCTGGGGAAGTGGAAAGAACAGAGTAAGGGCGCCGCTCTGCTCCCCAAGCCCCATGTTCCCTGAGGGCGGGGACTTAGAAGGCTCCCTTCCCCCCTGCAGGCGCCCGCTGCAGCTGGCACCATGGACAGCGAGGCATTTCAGAATGCACGGGACCTTTTGGACCTGAACTTCCAGTGTGAGCTGGGGTAGGGGGCGGGGCCGGTGGGGCGGGGCCCTCGGGGAGGTGGGCAGAGGCGGGCCCCTGCCAGGAGCCTCTGTCCTGTCCTTACCGTCGCTCCTGCCCACCCAGCGCTGGCCATAAAGCACATGGAGCACATGAAGCAGATGGAGCTGGACACGGCGGCAGCCAAGGTGGACGAGCTGACCAAGCAGCTGGAGTCGCTGTGGTCAGACTCACCGGCACCTCCTGGCCCACAGGCCACAGCCCCTTCTAGGGTGAGCCTGGTCCCCACCCTGACCTCCAAAGCCAGCTTTTCTCCACACCTCAGGCCAGAGGCCTGGATTTCGGGCAAGGCCGCCCCATACGGTTGTGCAGGTTGTGGCCTATTCAAGGTCACTTGAAAGAAGGGACCAGTGGAGGACCCTCAGGAGGAAAGGGGCCTTTCCTAAGTCACGCAGAGGCGACATACAGTAATGGGTTAGATCCATCCTAACTCAGGGGTCTGTCCCCAACACTCCTCACCTGGGCTCTCTGTGCCTGAATTTCCACCGCTAGTCTACGTCCTCTGGGTTGACCCTCAAATACCTCTTTTGACCCCCTCCCCGCCGACCCCTCCTCTAATGTCTCCTTTGACCCCTCAACGTCCTGGCCTCCCCACAGCTGTCCCGGTACAGCTCCAGCCCGGTCCCGGAGCCCATGGGCAGCCGAGGGTCCCCCCGGAAGGCGGCCACCGACGGCACAGACACCTCATTCCCACGCTCGGAGAGTGCCCCGGCCCTGCATCCCTACAGCCCGCTGTCGCCCAAGGGCCGGCCATCGTCTCCGCGCGCCCCGCTCTACCTGCAGCCCGACGCCTACAGCAGCCTGGAGCGCGCGCCCTCGCCGCGGCCGCGCGCCTTCGACGGCGCGAGCGGCTCCCTCGGGCGCGCGCCCTCCCCGCGGCCAGGCCCGCTCCGCCAGCAGGGTCCCCCCACGCCCTTCGACTTCCTGGGGCGCGCGGGCTCCCCGCGTGGCAGCCCTCTGGCCGAGGGGCCCCAGGCCTTCTTCCCCGAGCGGGGGCCCTCGCCGCGCCCCCCCGCGGCTGCCTACGAGGCGCAGTCCGCCTTCGGGGGTCCCCTGCTGGGCGCGGGCGGAAGCGCCTTTGCCCCGCCCCTGCGCGCGCAAGGTGAGCCAGGGGCCGAACTCGGGGCGCTCGGGCGCGCGGGGCTCCCTGCTTCCCATCCTCACTGGCAACGTCTCTCCAGACGACCTGACGCTGCGCCGGCGGCCCCCCAAAGCCTGGAATGAGTCTGACCTAGACGTGGCGTACGAGAAGAAGTCTTCGCAGAGCTATGAACGTGAGTGATGGAAGCTGGGCGGAGGTGAAGGAGGGGATTGGGGGACCCAGAGGACAGGCGCCCCCAGACCCTAATATTCCCGCCTCGCAGGCCTGGACGTCTTCGCGCGGCCGGCCTCGCCGGGCCTGCAGCTGCTGCCCTGGAGGGAGAGCAGCCTGGACGGGCTGGGAGCCGCCGGCAAGGTGAGGGGCGAGGGCTCTGGGAGAGGGGAGGTGACTTTGGGAGAGGGGAGGTCGGGCAAGGTCGGGGGGCGGGGTCAGGGCCAGTCTCACCCGCTGCCTGGCTGTGCCCGCAGTCTCCGCGCCTTTCCCACGCTCTTCCTTCGATACCTGCACTCCAGCCCTTCCGGATGTTTCTTCTCCCTCGCTCCCTGGCCTTCCCTCGCCCCCTCCTGTCCCTTCCACCTTGCGCCCTTACCTCTCCCACTGGAGCCCCTTCTCCCTTCGCTCCTCCCAGGACAACCTCACCAGCGCCACCCTGCCGCGCAATTACAAGGTCTCCCCTCTGGCCAACGACAGGCGTTCTGATGTGGGCAGCTACCGCCGTTCGCTGGGCTCCGCGGGGCCGTCGGGCACTTTGCCCCGCAGCTGGCAGCCCGTCAGCCGCATCCCCATGCCTCCTTCCAGCCCCCAGCCCCGCAGCGCCCCGCGCCAGCGCCCCATCCCCCTCAGCATGATATTCAAGCTGCAGAACGCCTTCTGGGAGCACGGGGCCAGCAGGGCCATGTTCCCTGGGTCCCCCGTCTTCGCCCGAGCACCCCCGCCTAAGCTGCCTCCCCAGCCGCCCCCCCAGCCCCAGCCCCAGCCCCAGCCGCCCTCCCAGCCACAGCCCCAGCCCCAGCTGCCCCCACAGCCCCAAACCCAACCCCACCCCCAAACCCCTACCCCAGCCCCCCAGCCTCCCCAACAGACATGGGCCCCTGTGAATGAAGGTGAGTCAGCGGCGGGGACCCCAGAAGGCTGGGTGAAGGGAGCCCATGTGGCAGGGGACCAGACATTGTCCCTAGCAGAGAGCTAGGCCAGCCGAGCTTGGGAATCCACTCGAGAGCCAGGGATAGCACAATGGTTATGCATGGACTCTGGAGCAGGACTGCCTGGTTTCACACTGTGTGACCTTGTGCGAGTCACTTAACCTCTCTGAGCCTCAATGTCATTGGACAAATAACGATAGAATCTATCTTCTTAGTAGGATATTGAGTGTATAATATTCTGTGTATTGAATTCACAGAAAGATCTTAACATGGTGCCTAATGCATAGTGAGCTCTCAGTAGCTATCACATTAGTCATAATAATTATTAATATTTTTTGACGCCAGGTCAGTGGAGTTAAGCAGAGTGGGCTTGAGGCTCTCTGCCCTGCTGACTTGCTGTGGGGCTGAGGATTAATTACCTAACCTGCCTGGGCCTCTGTTTTCCCAGCTGTGATGAGAGATTAATAACATTTCCCTTATGGGACTCTGCTGGGGAGTCAATGAAATGACACATAGCGTGATTAGATTATTTCCAGCTGCTTTATTAGACTGCTAGACAGAGAGAAGAGACCTCTAAACGCCAGGAATCTGCTCCTGGTGGGAGTTTTCTGCGTGAGATGTTAGGGAGAGACATTCTTAGGGGCTTCGAAAGTCGCATCTGTCGTGGGTTGGGCGAGTGCAGAGTCTAGCGTCAGAACTGAGTTCAGATCCCAGCGATGTGGCCTTGGGCAACTGACATGCCCTCTCTGAGACTCAGATTCCTCTTCCATCCCCGGAGAGGGTAGGCCGTCTGCCTCCCAAGGCAGCGGTGAGAGGTCAGCGCGACAGGCACATGCTAATTACACATATGGGAGGTGTCCCGATTGCTTGCTCTTCCCAGCCCAGGGACAGGGGGAGTGCGCAGAGGGCAAGGGACTCCCCTGAGGTGGCACAGCAAATCAGGCGCTGGTTGTAGGTCCCGGAAGTTATGGGGACGGAGTGTTTTGGAGGTCCCTTGGGGACCCGCCTTCTGATGGGGCTCTTGTTCCTGTTAGGCACCCCCAAGCCCCCTGCGGAGCTGGAGCCTGAACCGGAGATAGAGGGGCTGCTGGCGCCAGTGCTGGAAGCCGGTGACACAGAGGAAGGCACCGTCACCCGGCCCCTCAGCCCCACAAGGCTGCAGCCGGCACTGCCACCTGAGGCGCAGTCGGTGCCCGAGCTGGAGGAGGTGGCACGGGTGCTGGCAGAGATTCCTCGGCCCCTCAAACGCAGGGGCTCCATGGAGCAGAGCCCCGCCGTGGCCCTGCCCCCCACCCACAAGAAACAGTACCAGCAGATCATCAGCCGCCTCTTCCATCGCCACGGAGGGCCAGGGCCCGGGGGCCCCGAACCAGAGCTGTGCCCCATCACGGAGGGGTCCGAGGCCAGGGCAGGGCCCCCTGCTCCTGCCCCGCCAGCCCCCATCCCAACCCCGGCTCCGCCCCAGAGCAGCCCGCCCGAGCAGCTGCAGAGCGTGGTAAGTAATATATAGGAGCAAAGTGGGGTTGTTTGCTAGCATATGGCAAAGAGCCCCCAGATGCAGTGGCTTCAATGAGATAGAGTTTTTCTTCTCTCTGGAGTAGCAGTCCAGGGCTGGCAGGCAGCTCAATGGTCAGGACCCCTCTCCATCTGCCCGGGGCTCTGCCCTCCACCGGGGCTCGGCCTGCCCTCCTGGTCCAAGGTGGCTCTCACCAAGTCTGCCTTCCAGCCAGGAGTGGAGGAGGAAGAAGAGAAAGTGCCCCTTCCCTTTGGGGGCAGAAGCTGGACATTGCACACGTCACTTGCCCCTCCCACTAGCCAGGAGCCCAGCCGCAAGACAGGCTGGGAAATGTAGTCTTTAGCCCAGGGACAGCTGCGTGCCAGCGTGTATGGAGGGACATCCAGGGGTCTTGGCCACCTGGAGACTTTCTCTGCTCTTTCTCTCCAATAACCTGCGCCTGTGCCCTGCCCTTCAGTCCTTTAGCAATGTCAGAGTGTTACATCTGGAAATCACTGAGTCTTGGCAAAAAACACTGGTTTTTTCCCCCTGGGACCAGGAAAGCCTGCCTGAATCAAAGCAGTCACACTCTTTCTTTGCACCTGGAGCCCAAGGAGTCTCTCGTTTCTGCTTTTGCTAGAAATTTGTTCCCTTCTCTTACAGAAATCAAGTCTCTGGCCCCTGAGGCTGTGAGTGTCACGGTTAAGTGTACCTGCTACAGAGTTAGGCTTGCTCGGGTTTGTTTGAATCCTGGCTCCATGCCATTTATCTGCTATGCAAACCTTGGGCAAGACATTTAGCCTCTCTGGGCCTCAGTTTCCTCATCTGTAAAATGGGGGTGAGAATATCAGTACTCACCTTATTGCTGTGAAGATAAAATGTATTAATGTAATGTTTAGAATAGTGCCTGGCACACAGCTGTTAACTATTTTATTGTTGTTATTATTGAGCCAGAGAATGGTCACCTGCTGATCTTGGTCCCCTGCATCTCGGCTGGCGGCAGGGCTGTAGTCACGTGGAACTGTTGTGAACACTGAGTGTGGGTAGACAGAGGGAGGAGAACAATTTCTACAGAAGTGGGGGCCAAGTGGACACCCCAAAATGCCTATCTCTAGGCCCTTCTAAAGTTAGAGCCAGGGAATGTTAAGGCTCAGGGTCTTGAAATCAAGAAGGGAAGAATGACAACACCTTGAAATGGTCGAGTTGTCTCATTGTAGAATTATAAAGTCCTGGCCACAGAGAAACTTGGAGAGAAAAAAAAGTCACAGAATTCAAGAATTAAACAGTGGTATCACAATCTCGGAATAGTAAAATTTTAAAATTCTAGAGCACAAAAGGTTTAAAGAACATAGATAATGTTACTACCATGGACGCTGAATTATTACTGATTCTTGAAGTCACCAAAGCTGGAGATTAAAGACACTCATAATTTCAATTATAAAAATCACAGATTAGTGTGCTAATATGTTGTAATACAGAATAATATTTTAAATTGACATGAAAGGAATACACAAACACCTCCAGGAAACTGAAGAGATGAAAAACTAAAAAAAGAAAGAAAGAAAGAAAGAAAGAAAGAAAGAAAGAAAGAAAGAAAGAAGAATTGAAAAGAAAAAAATACACAAACACCATAGAAAACTTGGGGAAATAAATAAAAATAGAATGAAGGGGACAAGATCACAGCACTCATAGAGAACCATGATTAACATTTTGAGTATGTCCTGCTAGTCTTTTGGAATGAAATTTTTTTTTTTTTTTTTTTAAGACAGAGTCTCTCTTTGTTGCCCAGGCTAGAGTGAGTGCCGTGGCGTCAGCCTAGCTCACAGCAACCTCAAACTCCTGGGCTCAAGTGATCCTTCTGCCTCAGCCTCCCGAGTAGCTGGGACTACAGGCATGCGCCACCATGCCCGGCTAATTTTTTATATATATATCAGTTGGCCAATTAATTTCTTTCTATTTATAGTAGAGACGGGGTCTCGCTCTTGCTCAGGCTGGTTTTGAACTCCTGACCTTGAGCAATCCGCCCGCCTCGGCCTCCCAAGAGCTAGGATTACAGGCATGAGCCACAGCGCCCGGCCTGGAATGAAATTTTAATGATAAAACATTGATGTTCTCAATCAGAGGATCTCCTGGGCCCTCAGCAATTTGAAATAGTGCAACTTAGCATTTCTGCAATCACAACACGTTGCAAACTTGAAATAACTGAGCGTTAGAGAGTTCTGGATCCGATGGCTTTTGGGATCTCTGAATTTCAGAATCTTGAAATCACTGAAACTCCGGAGACAGCAAAAGACCAGAATAACAAATGCTGCGTAATCACACACTCAGAATAAATGAATCTTGGAGGAGGAAAATTAAAAATAAGAAAGCACAAGGAATAAATGATAAATATGCAAATTCCAAACATCTGAATTAACACCTGGTGACATTTCGTCAGTGTGCTTCGTAGCACTCTTTTTATATAAAAGAAATGAGATTGTGTATTGAACAACCCGCTTCCATAATCATTGCCTTGAAGGTGTAGAATTCCTCTGCCACCAACTCAATGGTCTCCCAGGTTTCTCTCAGGTTTCAGGGCCCCAAATTGCAAAATCACAGGGTTCCCTGACTGTAGGAAACCGGGGTGCTCTTGAGAACCCAGGCATCCCCACCCCTCCGGACTGGGTGGGTCTCTGGACGACCCTGGGTGTGACTCCCAGCCCTGCCCCCCGTTTAGATGGGTGACCACAGCGGCTGTCCCCAAGCTTCTGTTTCCCCCTCTGGGTCATGGGTACACTAACAAGCCCTCCAAGTGGCTGAAATCCTCGCCGTGTCCCCCAGGAGATGCGATCGGTGCTGCGGAAGGCGGGGTCCCCGCGCAAGGCCCGCCGCGCGCGCCTCAACCCGCTCGTCCTGCTGCTGGACGCCGCCCTGACCGGCGAGCTGGAGGTGGTGCAGCAGGCCGTGAAGGAGGTGAGGACGGCTGGGCTGGGGGTGAGCAGGGCGGAGGGGACGGGACGACCGAGCGTGGGGCTGAGCCTTCCCCTCCCCCGCCCGGCAGATGAACGATCCGAGCCAGCCCAACGAGGAGGGCATCACCGCCCTGCACAACGCCATCTGCGGCGCCAACTACCCCATCGTGGACTTCCTCATCGCCGCGGGCGCCAACGTCAACTCCCCCGACAGCCACGGCTGGTGAGCCCTGACCGCGCGGGGCGGTGCCGGACCCCCGACGGCGCTCTGGGCTGGGCCCGGGCGCACGCGCGGCCTCTCACGCACCCCTCCCCCGCCCAGGACCCCGCTGCACTGCGCAGCGTCGTGCAACGACACGGCCATCTGCATGGCGCTGGTGCAGCACGGCGCCGCCATCTTCGCCACCACGCTCAGCGACGGCGCCACGGCCATCGAGAAGTGCGACCCCTACCGCGAGGGTTATGCCGACTGCGCCACCTACCTGGCAGGTGCGAGGCGGGGCCGGGGCGGCTGGGTGGGGCGACTGGACAGCCCAGCTGGCAGGTGCCCAGGCGGGGGACTGTCCCCCATGAAGACGAGGGACTGAGGACGTGGGGGCTGTACCAACCACATAGCAGGATTGCGGAGGAGGGGCGGTGGGGTGGGCCACCAGCTTGGGTGGAGGACTGTGCCCCTTTGAGAGAGAGAGGGGACATGGAGAATGTGCCCTGCGAACTAGACGCCTTCGGGGAGGAGAGTGGTCTTGGGGGTGGGGAGCTGGACTTTCCAATTGCGCCACCTCCCTGGCGCAGGCCTGGGCAGGTGGTTTAGCCACTTGTGGGAGGGACGTTAGCACACACCTGGCAGGCGAGGCGGCCATGGCTGCTGGGAAGGGGCTCGGGGACTGTCCCTCTTGCAATAAGACATGAGGCCGTAGATGTCTCTCCAGGGGCAGGCCACTGTCACCTGGTTCCCCGAAGGGAGGGGCGAGGTAGGCTTACCGTGGGGACTGGACATAGGGTCTCTCCTACACACCTGGGCGGCAAGTCGGGTCTGGGTTTGAGCTGGGGAACTCACGGAGTTGGGGCGAGGCAGGTCCCGGGACCTGGGGGTGAGACGCAGGGTCACATCCCAAAGGATGTGACCCTGTGGGGCTTCCCGACATCGGGCTGTGCCCCCTCCGGCAGAACGTGGGTGAGAGGAGCCCTGCTGTAACGCCTGCCTTTAGGGGGCGCCGGGGCCCACGTGGGGGGAAGACTGTGCCTCTAGGGGTGACAGAGGGATTCAACAATGTCCAAGCAGGGAACGGGGGCCTTTGACGCTGCTGCGGCAGTAAGTGACCCAGCTCGATGCACCCCGTGTCCTCGAATGTGGGGTCGGGCTTGCGACCCCAGCTCTGGCCCCCGCCCCCACACATGGGCGCACACAGCTTTTCCCGTGGCTCATCCTCCCGCTGGGGCAGGTGCCACGTCCGGGCGCCTGTCCCTGTCCCCTGCGTGGCCACCTGTGTCCCTGGGCCCTCTCGGCTTGGTTCTCACGATGCAGGCCGCGGCGTTTTTCAGACGTGGAGCAGAGTATGGGGCTGATGCACAGCGGGGCGGTGTACGCCCTCTGGGACTACAGCGCCGAGTTCGGGGACGAGCTGTCCTTCCGCGAGGGCGAGTCGGTCACCGTGCTGCGGAGGGACGGGCCCGAGGAGACCGACTGGTGGTGGGCCGCGCTGCACGGCCAGGAGGGCTACGTGCCGCGTAACTACTTCGGGGTGAGCCCAGGGGGTATGGTGGGCACCTCCTGACCTAGGTTTGGGGAAAAGGTGATCCCGCAGGAACAAGAGGGGGGAGAGGGACAGACCATTATATTGAGGGGAGGAAAGGAAAAGTCCTTACAGAAGAGGGGGAAGAGTGGGCCCCTTATACTTAGGGGAGTAGGTGAGGAAGAGCCCTTTCCACAGCTGGCACTTTGGGGGTGCTCCCCCCACTGCCTTACTGGTTATTTGGTTCGTGCTCAAATATTTTCATCATCCCTGATTGGCATTGATGGGGAGGTGAAAGAATAATCCATTTTGGGCCGCCTGGTGGCTCACATCTGCAACAGCACTTTGGGAGGCTGCGGTGGGGGGATCATTTGAGGCCAGGAGTTTAAGACCAGCCTGGGCAACATAGTGAGACCCTCGTCTCTAAAAAATAAAAATAACAGGGCCGGGCGCTGTGGCTCACGCCTGTAATCCTAGCTCTTGGGAGGCCGAGGCGGGCGGATTGCTCAACGTCAGGAGTTCAAAACCAGCCTGAGCAAGAGCGAGACCCCGTCTCTACTATAAATAGAAAGAAATTAATTGGCCAACTGATATATATATAAAAAATTAGCCGGGCATGGTGGCGCATGCCTGTAGTCCCAGCTACCCGGGAGGCTGAGGCAGAAGGATCACTCGAGCCCAGGAGTTTGAGGTTGCTGTGAGCTAGGCTGACGCCACGGCACTCACTCTAGCCTGGGCAACAAAGCGAGACTCTGTCTCAAAAAAAATAAAAAAAATAAAAAAAAAATAAAAATAACAATAATCCGTTTTAGCAAGGGAGCAATGAAGAGTCTCATTTTAGTGATGGGAGAAGTTAAGGAATTGTATTTTTTTTTTTTAAGACAGAGTCTTGCTTTGTTGCCCAGGCTAGAGTGAGTGCCGTGGCGTCAGCCTAGCTCACAGCAACCTCAAACTCCTGGGCTGAAGCAATCCTCCTGCCTCAGCCTCCCAAGTAGCTGGGACTACAGGCATGCGCCACCATGCCTGGCTAATTTTTTCTATATATATTAGTTGGCCAATTAATTTCTTTCTATTTATAGTAGAGATGGGGTCTCGCTCTTGCTCAGGCTGGTCTAGAACTCCTGGAGCGATTGCCTGCCTTGGCCTCCCAGAGTGCTAGGATTACAGGTGTGAGCCACCGTGCCGGACCAAGGAATTGTATGTTATAGGCATGGTGGAGCGGACGCTTTTATTACACTGCATGGGGCTGGGTGAGAAAAAAATCTGTTAATAAAATTATAGTAGAGGCCGGGAGCAGTGGTTCACACCTGTAATCCTAGCACTCTGGGAGGCTGAGGCAGGTGGATCATTCAAGGTCAGGAGTCTAGAGGCCAAGGCAGGTGGATCACTCAAGTTCAGGAGTTCGAAACCAGCCTGAACAAGAGCGAGACCCCGTCTCTACTAAAAATAGAAAGAAATTAATTGGCCAATTAAAAATACACAGGAAAAATTAGCCGGGCATGGTGGCACATGCCTGTAGTCCCAGCTACTTGGGAGGCTGAGGCAGGAGGATCACTTGAGCCCAGGAGTTTGAGGTTGCTGTGAGCTAGGCTGACGCTACAGCACTCTAGCCATGGCAACAGAGTGAGACTCTGGCTCAGAAATAAATAAAATAAAATTATAGTAGAACCAAGGAAGATTCTACTAGGAGTAGGGGGAGGAGACCATGACGATTCCATTATATTCCTGGGAGAGAAGATTTTTTAAATTTGGGGGTGGATGAAGGTGGGACCCAAGCAGACAGCCACGGTGTTAGAGACAGGTGGGCATCCATCTGCTATAAGTCAGTATGGGAGACTCGATATCCCATTTCCCCAATGGGGGCTTCTGATCGGGAAGGTTCTTGGAGGTGACTCCAGACTCAGGGATTCTGGGCTGGCTTGGGAGACGCTGAGGGAGTCCATTAGGAAGGGGTGAGGAGGGTGGGATGAGGGCGTGGGAGCTCCTGGTGTCTCTCTAAAGATCCGTCTCCCCTCAGCTCTTCCCCAGGGTGAAGCCGCAGAGGAATAAAGTCTAGCGGGACAGAAGGACATTTTGGAGGGAGACTGGAGCAAGCAGCCCTGCCTTGGCTGCAGACCTCCCCCTCCATTTACCGCTGCCTTTACCTGCGCCCCCCAGCCCTGCAGGGGTGCGGCCCTTACCACCAGTCCTCTGCTCTCCCCGAAGCTCGGGGCAGAAGGAGAACCCCAGCCTTAAGTTTAGGAACCTGCCTTAGCCCTTAGAGGTCCAGGTGGGGCTGGGAACCCCTGGGGCAGGAGACACCCCGTTTTTGCTACATCAGATCCCGTCCAAAGTGCCTCCCACTCCTACTGCCACTGCCCCCAGCAAGACAACCCACTGGTGTCCCCACTGGATTTCCATGGGAGTCACCTCTGACCCCACTCCTCCCAGCGGCCTTGGGGTACAAAAGGCACCTTGGTCTCTACCAGCATCCCTGCCCCTCCTCTCCTCAATGAAGTGCCTTCACACAGCGCTGGTTTTATGTTTATAACAAAATGGGGACATTTTTCTTTATAAATAAAGGTAGTTTGCACAGAAATGGACTTTTTTCTCTTTTCATTCCGTTCCAACTCAATAAATGCTCATTGTTGCTGTTACAATTTTTAGCAAAATCGTATTTTTTTCAATCAATCACTTTTATAATGTTATGATTAGGTTTTCTTTTTTTTTTTTTATGATTAGGTATTTTTCACCGCAGAGCCATGTCATGTACTAGAATTTTCTCTCCTATGCAATTTTTTTTTGCATGGTTAATTGCTTTTGTCATTTGCTTAATTTTATGTGTATATCTACTTAATATTTTTTAAATGTCCCATTGGAGTTTCCATACACCTAATAGTACATTCAAGATTTTTTTTCTCCTTCCTGAAGTGCTCTATTCTATTTGCATCTGGACTAGCTGGACTAGGTCTCCAGGGCAACTCTAAGCTATTCTGGAACTTTCCCAAGTTGGATATTGTTTCCTGAATCCCATGTCTTTGTCTTTCTTGGTTGACATCCTCTTGTTCCTTTAAAAGGATGAAACAGGAGGTAAATATTTCTGAGTGCTTGCCCAACTAAATATATCTGCATTCTACTCTCCATGTTATGACAGTTTGGCTGGGTATAAAATTCTAGTTTGAATATATAAGTATCCCTTGTGATTCAAATCTATTCACCTCCTGAGTTGGAATGCAAGTTTGGATAACAAGGGGTACTTGTCACTTTTTCCTCAGAATTTTTTCCTTTCTCCCTTTCCTTTGAACTTGTGTTTGACTCGCTTTTGTCCTGGAAGCTTTTGAGATCTTATCTTTTTCTCTGGTTCTGAAATTTCATAATGGTATGCCTTACTGTAGTCTTCATTCATTGTTCTGTTCCTTGGGCTGTCCTTTCAATCTGAAGCCTCATAACTTTTGGTTCTGGGAAATTTTCTTGTACATTTCTGTGTTAATTTCTTCCCCTTCATTTTCTCATTCTCTTCTGCAAGTTGCATTATTTGGATGTTGGACCTTCTGGTTTGGTCCTTCAATTCTTTAATGTTTTCACTACCATTTTCCTTCCCATTGGCAATTTTCCCCTACTTTATAGAAAATTTCTTAGACTTTATCTTTCAATCTTTCTACTAAATTTACATTTCATCTCATATTTTTAATTCCCAAGAATTTTTTTTTGTTCTTTCATTATCTGTTTTTCATCACCTCCAATTCTTACTTTATAGATATGATATCTTCCCTTATCTTTTTTCTTTTTTTTTTTTTTTTGTGCTACTGAACTTCCTACAATGCGCTCTTCCCTTATCTTGATAGGTATCTTAAAAAGCATTTTAGTTGTTGGCCGGACGCGGTGGCTCACGCCTGTAATCCTAGCACTCTGGGAGGCCGAGGCGGGCGGATTGCTCGAGGTCAGGAGTTTGAAACCAGCCTGAGCAAGAGCGAGACCCTGTCTCTACTATAAATAGAAAGAAATTAATTGGCCAACTAATATACATAGAAAAAAATTAGCCGGGCATGGTGGCGCATGTTGCTGTGAGCTAGGCTGATGCCACGGCACTAACGCTAGCCTGGGCAACAAAGCGAGACTCTGTCTCAAAAAATAAAATAAAATTTTAAAAAATTAAAAAAAAAAAAAAAAAAAACTTCTAGAAGGCCCCATGTGCACTGAGTCCCACAAGGCTGTCTGGCTGCAACTTCCCAACCCATCCCTTGGCCTGAGGCTGCAGCCACCCTGGGTGACTGCTAAGCTCCGCCTCCACACCCTGTCACGTCTCTGGGTGACACAACCCCAGCGTGGGCGGCAGAAGATCTAGATTACTACTAGGAGGATCTTAAGAAGTGTCCTCCGTTCCCCAGGTCTTGGTTTCCCTGTTTTAAAGAAACGGATCCTAGGAGGTATTTCATGGATCGCCTTGAGTATTGAGTGTCATTCATTCCTATTTGTTGAGCAGCTACTGTGTGCCAGGCTCCGAATGGGGCGCTGGGGACACAGCGGTGACAAGGAGACAGAAGTCCCTGCTCTCACATCAAACCACTATCTGGACCTTTGATGATATTAAGCAATTATGACTACTTTTTTGAAGGTGTGCCAATGACATGTGGCTATGTTTTCACAAAGAGTCTTTACTTTTAGCGATACCCTCTGAAATACTTCTGGATGAAAAGATAGGATGTCTGGGACGTGCTTCCATGATGTAAGTGACTGGTGGGAGGGAAGTGGCTGGTAGGGTGGGGAAGGAGGGACGCAGCCAAAGCCAATCGTGGACCCTGAGTTGAAAATCAATGAAATTTAGCATGAGGATGTGTGCTTTCATTCCACTCTCCTGTCAACGTTTGTGTTTGTTGGCAATTGTCCCTAATACACAGTTGGAAAATGTCACTGCTTCTGCAGAGCTGACATCCTAGTGGAAAAGACAGACAATTAACAAAATAATGAGCAAGATACACAATATGTCACATGGCAATCACTGTTACAGAAGGGACTAAAGCAGGGGTGGGGGTAGCGAGCCAGGTTGGGAGGTGTATGAGTTTCCCGCGGATGCCGGGGACACACAATGACCATGAACTCGGGGGCTCAAAACAGCACATGTTTATTTCCTAATAGTTCTGAAGGTCAAGTCTGAAATCAGAGGCACTGGGCTGAAAGCAAGGTGTTGGCAGGGCTGTGCTCCCGGAGGAGGATCAAAGGAGAATCAATTCTTGCCTTTTCTGGCTTCTAGAGAGACATTTTTTGCATTCCTTGCATTCCTTGGCTCTCGGCCACTTCCCCTACTTTTAAAGCTCTGAGCAGCCTCTGCCCAAGTGCCACTTGGCCTCCATCTCTGTCCTGCCGTCCCATCTCCCTCTTATAAGAACATTGGCGATTACAGTTAGGGCTCACCCAGAAACTCCACGACAATCTTCCCATCTCAAGATCCTTATCTTCGTCACCCCTGCTAATCCCTTTGCCATATAAGGTCCCATTCCGAGGTTTCAGAGATCAGGACCAAGATATCTTTGGGGAAGATGATTCAGCCTACCCAGGGAGTGTTGCAATTGAAATGGGGTGGCCCCGAATGGGGCGCTGGGGACACAGCAGCGACAAGGAGACAGAAGTCCCTGCTCCCACATCCAAACACTACCTGGACCTTTGATGGTATCAAGCAATTATTACTACTTTTTCGGAGGTGTGTCAGTAATGGGTAGCACATCATTGGGAAGGCCTCTCTAAGAAGATAACGTTTGAGGAAGGCTTGCAGGAGGGGAGGCAGGGAGCCAGGCCAAAATCTAGGGGAAGAGCCTTCCAGATGGAGGGAACACTTGGCCATGCAAAGGCCAAGAGTGTGCAGTTGTCAGGCATTCCACAATGGCTCCCAAGCCTCCTGCCTGCTGGTATCGGAGCCACCGAGTAACCCCTGTCCCTTGAGCATGGGCTGCATGTAGCGACAGATACTGAGAACTAGAACACAGCAAAAGCAACGGACGGACTGTTACTTCTCAGATTAGATTATCAAAGGCAATAACTTCCATCTTGCTGATTTCTCTCTCTGGCTCATCTTGCTTTGTCGCCTAGATGAAGCTGGCTGCCCTCGGGGAGGCCCACGTGGCAGGGATCAGTGAGGAACCGGATCCTGCCAGCAGCCCTCTGCTGAGCTTGGCAGTGCATCAGTTCCTAGTTGAGCCTTTTCTTTTTTTTTTTTTTTTTTGAGACAGAGTCTCGCTTTGTTGCCCAGGCTAGAGTGAGTGCCATGGCGTCAGCCTAGCTCACAGCAACCTCAATCTCCTGGGCTCAAGCGATCCTCCTGGCTGGGACTACAGGCATGCGCCACCATGCCCGGCTAATTTTTTCTATATATATTAGTTGGCCAATTAATTTCCTTCTATTTATAGTAGAGACGGGTCTCGCTCTTGCTCAGGCTGGTCTTGAACACCTGACCTGGAGCAGTCCTCCCGCCTCGGCCTCCCAGAGTGCTAGGATTATAGGCATGAGCCACCGCGCCCGGCCCCTAGTTGAGCCTTGAGATGACTGTAGCCGAGTTCTGATCCCTGAGATAATAAATGCTACTGCTCTAATCATTACATTTGGGGGGTAATTTGTTACGAAGAAACAGCTGACTAATGCAGGCCCGGTGCCTAGACGGAAGCGTGAGGAGGCCACGTGTGGCTGGGAGGGGCGGGGTGGAGAGAGAACAGCTAAAGACGACATCAGGGAGCGACAGGATGCCTAGCACAGAGCCTGGCAGGCGTAAGTACAGTACTCAGTTTTATTCTTGGTTTTAAGATGTCCTCCTACTTCTGCCCCAAAGTAACCAGGGCTGGGATAGGGGAGCCCAGAGAGGGTGCCTGACCCAGCTGGGGAATCAAAGAGGGCTTCCTGGAAGAGGCAGCGTCTCTTTGAGAGCTGAAGGGGGGGGAGTTGGAGGGAGGCAGGGCAAGGCTGGGGAGAGGGTGCTGCCGGCAAAGATGGCGCCTTTGGAGGCCAGTAGGAAACGGAGGAGACGGAGGAGGAAGTGATCTCTTTGGCTTGGAATGAAGTATGGGGGACACGGACTCCTTTGAAACAGGAGGTGTCACCATGACTTAATCCCAACCAGCCAACATCACCTGTGTTTGTTTTCTTGGTACGACGTGGTACCGTGAGCAGGATCTTTGTGTAGGTTGATTTTCTCACCAAGTGTTCATCATAGCTCACTGCAGCCTCAAACTCCTGGGCTCAGGTGATCCTCCTGCCTCAGCCTCCCAAGTAGCTGGGACTACAGGCATGCGCCACCATGCCCAGCTATTTTTTTTTTTTTTTTTTGAGACAGAATCTTGCTTTGTTGCCCAGAGTGAGTGTCGTGGCGTCAGCCTAGCTCACAGCAACCTCAAACTCCTGGGCTCAAGCAATCCTCCTGCCTCGGCCTCCCAGAGTGTTAGGATTACAGGCGTGAGCCACCACGCCCAGCCATGCCCCGCCGGCTATTTAAAAAAAATTTTTTTTTGTATTACTACAGACTTGGCTTAAAAAGAAAAAATGAAACAAAACAAACAAACAAAAAAGTAAAACTTATTTTTGTAGAGATGAGTTCTTGCTGTGTTGCCCAGGCTGGTCTTGAACTCCTGGCCTCGAGTG